ACGAGAGGATAAAAAAAAGAAAGGATTGAGTGATAATGAGTTATGACAGATAGATAATATCGTGATGATATATTGAAATACATATATTATACATAAAAAAAACATTATTAAGTTACATATAAACAGGATCACCTGCACAATTGTTTTTGGGGTGAGATGGGGGCAAACATGCGGAAGTCATCTATTAAGTTTTACATATGTAGGACAAAGCATATTTATATGTGAAATCCAGGGGGTTGAGAAAGTAGCCCACCCTCTTTTCCGTATGTGATGGCGCCCATTCATGTAAACTTTGCGAATATAAGAACTGATGTGATTATGATTTTTAACGTAGCTTTAACAATTTTTCACTCATATCGCTACGATGTCTGCAGTGTGACAGTTTATAGTGATGTCTAGCACTGGGGCATCATGCCCCAGACATGTAAAATGATGTCCTACCCAGTCACATTATCTTGACACCAGGCCGATCAATTCTAACACTAACCACATAATGCTGAGCATCAAGCGAGGCAGTTGTTAGTACCATTTTTGTAAGACTCTGGTATGACTCGACCGGGGATCGAACCCACGACCTCCCGCATCTGAGATTGACGCTCTAACCACTAGGCCACCGGAGCGGTTTTGCAAATATAAAGTAAGACAGGTAAGTTTACCTTTATGTGTCCTAACCGGGACCTTTGATCTCGTTCGAATTCCATGTACGGTCTGACGTGGCACATTCTAAGCAGCCCAAATTCAGGGGCGTGGACAGGATTTGTGGGGCCAAGGAAATTTTGTCTTAGTTGTCCTACCCTCTCTTATCCATGTTGAATATTTTCTTTCCTGGTTGTCTTGTACTTTTTGTCAGATACTTGTGTTCACCTTCTATCATCAGGGTGAAATAGCAGTCTCTTATCCATGTCCTGGAAGATATTATTTCTACACTTAATATTTTTTCTATCTTGTGATATTTTACGAACAGTTGGTGGGTTCAATGGCTGTACTTTATTGCTGCCTTGACTTGGTCTGGATGGGTGGGTGGTTTTGAGTCGCTACTGGTTGTGCCACTGGTATGATGTGGTTTGGATACTAATTTGAGAATACCTATGTTAGCATAACAAAAAAGCAAAACGAGGTATGGAAGATTTGAAGTGATGAAAAGCAGAACTGTTGATGTCTTCTAAGGTGTATGAAATTTGCACTAGAAATTATGTTTTTAATATAGTAGTACACAGTATGTGTAGATATAATACTCGAGGAGAAAGCTATTTCATTTGGTAAATTTGGTGTTAGCTTTGCGCAATTTAGTCGTGCGAAAAATATGCCCAAGGAGCGAGCTTATTTTTCTCAGATAATTTCCGGAAGATAAGCATAATTTTCTTGGTCATGCTTTCTGCACTTTGTATTATCTTTTTGACTTCTTCAAATGCTATAACCGTTAAAAAACAAACATGGAAACCCTGATAGGAAAGCCATTAATTTTCTCCGGTCGATTACGGTTACGGATCAATTGAAGACTTAAAATACAATTTGTATTCTTTAGAAGTAGGCCAAGGAGGTGTGATTCACCAATATCATTTTTAACGTTCATCAATCTCACTTTACAATTTATATATATTGCTTTCTAAACATAGACGTTTGCCTTTCCAACCCCGCATTTATAAATCGCTACAATCGAATTCCATAATTATCAGTTGACTCAGAATTGCTCTCCTGGAAAACGTCGTTTCATTTCATTTGTCACAACTTTTTTTAATTAAATGCTGTGACGTGGGATAGAAAAAGACTTATTTCATAAAATGTTACACGATTAGTCTTGTTTGCATCCTGTTCAGTTACTTTGATGTTTGATATATGGAATATTTGTGATATCACGCAATGAGACAAGTCATGGGAAGAAAGAAGAAGAGTTCAACATTTCTAACACAGATACCAAAAGTACACCAATATATTTTATAAATACAAAATTTAATTGATTACTCGAAATTCCTTTAAGGGAGTGCCGCTTACTATTGATATTGATTTGTGACGAGATGGTAAAATATGTTAAACGGTTAAAATCTTGATCAAGGCATATATACTCTGTACTCCCGGTAGTTCTTTTATATATCTGTATAACCATTACTCTGATTGGATGAATGCAAGTGCGTTCTCGTTTGTGACGTCATAATGTTAACCACGCGTCACACACCGAGCACTAATTCGATTGGGAAGATTATAGCACCAGACAACAACACAGCATCAGTGCTATGCGTTAAATTTTTCAAAGAAATAAATTAAAATTCATATATTAAAAATTAAGTTAAATTATCAAAACCATCCTTTCACAACAACAAGTAAGTTGACAATGGTCTGTTTTCAAGAAAAGAAAGTTACTTCTCCTTTTTAAGAAGAGTTCCAATGGAGAATAAACCTTTTCGGAATAAATTCATATAAAATTCTTCATAACAATGAATATAACCAAATTGTCGTAATGACTTTCCATCATATGAGAGAATGAGAGACATGTTGTTTAAAAACTGAGATAAAATGCAGAAATAAATTTTAATATACTGCAATTTTCATATGCAAGTAGATTTATGAAATTGCCT